TTTTTTTTTTTTTTTTTTTTTTTTTTTTTTTTTTTTTTTTTTTACGTTGCAGGCCCTACAGGTGCTATTTTCATGTTCGGAGGGAATGAACCTGCCAGCATTGTCATATTTGGAACGTAGACTGGTCAGGCCTGCCACTTATGTTATCATTTTGCATTCTTTGTATCACTTTTCCCCTTTGCTCTTCCTTCTGATTGCAGTGGTGTGGGTCCTTCTCTAGCCATGAATCTAGACCGGTCTTTGCTCTCCGTACCAGAGAGCATGACAGAGAATGAACCTGGCTTAAGGGCCATGTTCATGCTCTCCTACTCTCATTTGTCTCCTGCTCTTCCCTCCTCGGCATCTACTCCTTGCTGCTCCCCATTATATTACATGCGCATATACATTCCTTGCTCGTTTTATTGTCTTTCGCCCATTCGCCTGTGCACACCTCTTCTTGCAGCATGAGATCCTGAGGATGAACGCTCACAGTCGACAGAAAAAAAGTGTATAGTTGTGTGTTCAAGGCAGACGAATAGGATAAACAGTCCAAGATGAGTGTGGGGCTCTATCTGTTGCTCTATATTAAACCACCAGTACCTACCGGTTGGGGCGGTCGTTAACGAGGAAGCCGAATCGGCCTGCCCCTCCGGTCCAAATTCATTCGAAGCCAGGGGGTACGAAAAATGCGGTAGGCACTGGTGCTTTAAACCGCCAGTCACATGACGTGGTGCTTTTTTCACTTTTCTGCCATGTTGCAAGCTAGACCGCTGTCGGGTGTGTGCAAAGGGTCCAGCGCCCATCGTTGGCCATGGTATGCTGAAGGGGGATTTCTCCATCCCACTTTTATGTTTCATGCCGTCCGCTTTATGTTTTTGTCCTATGCAGAAGTTTGAATTTTGACCTGGCACTTGTTCCAAGCCCGTCACCGACTGCTGCCTGGCAGAGAGAGAACGAAGAGTCCAGTGGAAGCGCAGAGTCAACTCTTCCGTCTAATTGGAAGGTTGGTGTCTCAGGCAGTTCCAGCATGAAGCGAGAGGCATCGCTAGAGTGCATGTCGATAGCACATGACGGAGGTGGAAGAGACAGCAAAAGGAGAAAGCTTTCAGGAAACATCCCTGAAGACCTTCTTGAGTGCCCAGTCTGCTGGGACTTCATGTTCAGGTGAGGGAAGCTTGTACAGATTGAAATGCCTGCTTTCAGATTGAGATGCGAGCTTTTAGGTAACACGATATATACTGATGTTACTGATCTCATACATAATGATGCCGGAGATCATTCCTCGGGCCCCGTGCTGCAGCAGGACAGTGTACCAACGCTGTGCAACCTTCTCCTTTGCACCGCTACAAACACTGATACACTCGGGTGTAGCCGCCATAGTCTCTGTCACAATCACGACGATGACGTGGTTTCTGCATCTATGTGTGTGGAGGACTGTCCCTCCATTCCTGAATGTATGCTCCCTCCGCATCCAGACACTATGCATGCCCATTTGCAGTCACGGGCGCTATACTGAATCCATGGTCTTTTGTGGTGAACATCAACACAATACTCTATAGCTTTTGTGGGCTGCGGGGTAACGCCCGGCCCCGAATTCTTGCTTTTCTTTCTGTTTGGGCCTTTGGATTCTGTAGTGGGCGGCCACGATCGCCCGAGAGCTTGATTTCTAACGAATTGTCGCACGCTTAAATTGTCGACACGGAATCCTTTTTGCTTCTCCTTACTTCGTGGGGATCCGGACGGCCAAGGTTTAGTCTTGCTATCAAATGGGTTCGCCTTGATAGCAGGATGACGGTGTCAGAGCTTTGTGCAGGCCCAAATCAGACGCCCGCTTTGAAACCGTCCAACGTCCCCGATAAAAAAAAGAAAAGAAAGAGCGGAGCCGCGAAAAAGAACAAAAACAAAAACAAAAACGAAAATGAAAACAAAAAGGGCCTCCCTCCACCGCTCACCAAACACACAAAATGGGAACGGATTTTCCAGTACCGCCATAATTTTTGTCCTTTGTGCATGTGGTCAGTGGTGGAGCGAGGCCCAAAGTAAACGGTTTGGGAAGGAATTTTCCGGTGGAACATGGAAAGATGCACCACCATAATTTTTGGAGCGAGGCCCAAAACAACGTTGAAGAAAAAAATGGACCATCCGCGCGGAACAACCCTCGGCGGTGGCAGGAGGACACCTCCGCCATGGCGGTGGTGGTCCACGGACAAACACAAAAAGTCCGCACCCCTCCCACTCCTCCACCCGCACACCAACCCACAAGCAACAGACCCGCAAGCATATGCACACCCTGCACACCGACCCTCAAGCACACCCAACACCCACCCACAAGTACGCGCGCAGCCCCCCGCTGATCCCCGAACACACTCACGCACGCACACACACACATACACATGCCAACACACAACACAATGCACAGAAAGGTATGGAGTAGGTTACTGTGTGTGAAAGAGAAAGGACCACAGTTCTTCACGTGGCTTATTTTCCGCAGGTGACGTACATCAGGGAGCGTGCGAACGGGCATGCTCGATAGGGAGTTAGAGAAGGCTGATTCGCGGTGCATCCCCACAATGAGAGGGGGACCAAACAGAGATGGCAGGGAAGAGAGAGAGTGCGAGATGGCGAACTTCTCTCTTTTTCATTTTTGTGCTTCAAGGTTTTCGTTGTTGATTTCTGGTAGATTTCATTTCCAGTTCGTCATGTCTTGTCTTACAAGAGTTCAATTTTCATGTTGAAATGTTTTGGGGGGGGGGGGGGGGGG